TCATCTGTGATATTTTTTAATGCTTCTTGTAGTTTGACAAGGCTTTTTGGTATCATTGGTTTTTTGTTAGCTTTGATGTTAATTATGTATGGGTTTGGTGTGTGTAGTATTGATTTGTTTATTTGCTGGATTTGTGTTTTGATTATTCTTGTAATTGTTTTGAATCATGCTGGTTCTTTGCCTGTTGGTATTTTGTGTATGGTATGTGATATTTCTTTCCAGCTAATTGTTTGTGTGTTGTTTAAGTTTGTCAGCTATTCGATAAAGTTGATTCTGTGTTTGTTAAATTTAGCCTTGAGTTGCTGAGCATTAATCTTGCTTGTGTGCAGTGATGGATCCATGAGTAGCTTGTTTATACTGTTTCCTCTGTTTCTAAGAGGTCCAGGCCAGTTGCTAATATTGTTTATTATTGTAAAATGGTTGTCGTGTAGTATTTGAATCCTTTTAGCTGTGGTTGTATTATTTTCAGCTATAGGAAGTATATATGATGCATCAGCCAGTATTAATGTGTTTGTATTGGCTACATTTTGTAGTTGTTGTATATGTATGTATAGTGATGAATTACATAGGTCTGGGTTATTGATTTGTTGTATTATCTTGCTTATATAGTGTTGGTATTGTATGTTCCATAGTATCTGGAGTGCATATATTCTGTGGTTGTAGAAGGTTGAATTGGGTATAGCTCTAGACATACCAGCTTTGTGTTTGATGATCAAAGTATATCTGTTTGTAGTTTTGTCACATTGTGGTTTGGCGAATATATAGTTTTGTGTTCGGTATTTGAAACATGTTAGGATGACTGTATTGATTATATATATTGCTTGTTTCTCTGTGATTGTTGATTTTTGAAGTAACTTTAAGACATCATTTATTTTTTTTACTATATTTTGCTATATTGATGTTTTACTAGTATGAATATTGTAGTAGCATTTGAGAAATCAGAAGCAGTGTTTAGGTGGTATTAGGTGTATATTGGTGCTGTTAAATATTATATATACTGGTTCATCTTTTTTCTTCGGTTTGTAGTTGGTAGCTAGTATTGACTTGTGCAGATTGACTGTGATTCTTGTCATTTTGTAGAAGGAATTAGCTGTATCTATTAGTGTCTGTAGGTTTGGTTTGTTTTCTGCTATCCATAATGTGTCGTCCATATATGCCAATATATTTTGTTGTTTGCTGAGACATTTGTGTTGTATATGTGTTGGCTGTGGTGTTGTTGTTCTCATTGTGTATATAGAATAATTTTTGTTGATTTGGGTTAGCAAAGGGTTATAGTATATCCTCTATAGTAGTGGAGTTATAGTTTCTCCTTGGTCTATACTGTCTTGAACTTGGTATTTGTTAGTTAGTCCATAGTTGGTGATGACATTGTTGTGTCTGTGAGATAGTATATTAGTTATGATATTTGTTATGGGTTTGGGTATCTTGATATGGTGTAGTGCTTTGATTAGGAGTGGAATATGCACTGAGTCATAGACCTTACTCATGTCCTGTGATAGTAACCATAGTTCTTTCTTGTTTGTCTGAGCATCTGCTATTATATGTTAAAGAATATGTATTGGTGTTGCTGTAGAGGTATTGGCTAGACTACATAATTGTTTGGGTTTAGTATGTTGTATTTGGATAGTATGGGGTCAAGTCTCTGTACTATAATTTTTGTGAGGATCTTTCTAATATGTTCTATTTGTGTAATGGGGTGTGTTTAATTTAGGTTGTCTGTGAATGTTGCTTTTTTTAATATAGGGTATATTGTACTATGTTTCCATGCAGTAGGTATATCATGTAATGACAGACAGTTGTTGAGTATATTTTAAATTGTAGTTTTTGCTCAAGGGCCTAGATGTTTTAATATTTTATTTGATATTCTTGAGGGTCCAGTGGCCTTTGTATTGGGTGCTTCTTTGATTGTAGTCACTAGTTTGAGAGGTGTAATCTTTGTTATAGTTGTGCTATACTATGTTGGGTCAATCGTTTGGATAGGTTTGTATTCTTTTGCTCATTCTTGCCATAGTTCTGTTTGGGTAGAGTTTAGCTTTGTCCAGTTTTTGAAATATTTCTATATTGCTGTTTTGATCTTCTGAGGTTCTGTGATTATGTTGTCTAGTATGCAGATATTATATAATATAACAGGGTCTGTATGTTT